ACCCTAAACCCTAAACCCTAAACAATAAACCCTAAACCCTAAACCCTAGACCCTAAACCCTAAACCCTAACCCCTAAACCCTAAACCCTAAACCCTCAAGAAATACCTAGAGTGTCTCCTTCTGTTAGTGCATCGCATGCAGAGACAGGCAGCAGCCAGTGGGGGACAGTGCGGCTGACGAGCTCCAGCCGCCTTGAGTCTGAAGAAGAGTCAAACCTCCACCTGCACACAAACCCTAAACCCTAAACCCTAAACCCTAAACCCTAAACCCTGGGGTACGAGTGCAGCAATAAACTGCTGATAGGATGCTGCAGTTGGCTCTCGAGAAGCGTTGATAGGAGATGCAGGAGACAGTAGCTGGCAACAGAGGAGACAGGAGGAGACAGGAGGAGACAGAAGGAGACAGGAGGAGACAGAAGGAGACAGAAGGAGACAGAAGGAGACAGAAAGAGACAAAAGGAGACAGGAGGAGACAAAAGGAGACAGAAAGAGACAAAAGGAGACAAAAGGAGACAAAAGGAGACAGAAGGAGGAGACAGCAACTGTCTCCTTTTACCGCCCCATAAGAGGCAGGTACTGTTCTCTAGGGAGACAAAAGGAGACAAAAAAAAAAACAACAAAAACCCCACAGGAGACAGCAGCAATTCTAGTAGAAACCCTGCTGCAGCACCTCTAGCAGCACCAGCAGCAGCAGCAGCAGCAGCACAAGCAACAGCAGCACAAGCACGAGCAGCAGCAGCAGCAGCACCACTACCACCACCAGCAGCCGCACCACCACCACCACCACCAGCACCACCACCACCACCACCACCACCACCAGCACCACCACCAGCACCACCACCAGCACCAGCAGCACCAGCAGCACCACCACCACCAACACAACCAGCACCAGCAGCAGCACCAGCAGCAGCAGCAGCAGCAGCATCAGCAGCAGCAAACATACGTGAGGAGGGAGACGCCTCTGTACATATCCCCGGTGATGATGAAGTGTTTGAGCGAGGAGACAGAAGAGACAGAAAGCCCCACATCTGCGAAGGCCCCGCGGGCCAGCAGATCCCCCTCCAGCTCCTGCATGCAACACACTGTCTCCTTTTGTCTCCTTTTGTCTCCTGCTGTCTCCTGCTGTCTCCTTTTGTCTCCTTTCGTCTCCTTTTGTTTCTTTTTTTTCTTTTTGGTTTAGGGTTTTTTTTTTGTTTCTTTTTTTCGGCTTTTGTTTGCTGTCTCCCTTCTGTCCCTGTCTCCTTTCTCTCTTTGTCTCCTTTCTGTATACATTATATCTGTTTCCTTTCTATCTGTCTCCTTTCTCTTTGTCTCCTCTCTATCTGTCCCCTTTCTCTTTGTCTCCTTTCTATCTGTCTCCTTTCTCTCTATCTATTACATTCTGTCTGTCTCCATTCTCTTTGTCTGCTTTCTATCTGTCTCCTTTCTATCTGTCTCCTTTCTATCTGTCTCCTTTCTCTTTGTCTCCTTTCTCTCTATCTATTACATTATATCTGTCTCCTTTCTATTTGTCTCCTTTCTCTTTGTCGCCTTTCTCTTTGTCTCCTTTCTCTTTGTCTCCTTTCTATCTGTCTCCTTTCTATCTGTCTCCTTTCTCTCTATCTATTACATTATGTCTGTCTCCTCTCTACCTGTCTCCTTTCTATCTGTCTCCTTTCTAGCTGTCTCCTTTCTATCTGTCTCCTTTTTATCTGTCTCCTTTCTCTCTATCTATTACATTATGTCTGTCTCCTCTCTCTCCCCCTCCTTTCTGCCCGCAACATCTCGGGTGTCTCCTGTCTCCCTTGCTTTTGCTGCAGCTCCTTGTACTGCTGCTGCTGCTGCTACCACAGCTACTGTTGCTGCTGCTGCTACTACCACGACTCTCGCTGCTGCTGCTGCTGCTGCTGCTACTACTACTACTACTACTGTTGCTGCTGCTGCTGCTGCTGCTGCTGCTGCTTACATGTATGAATAGGCGTTTACCAACGGAGTGCAGCAGGTAGTGTCTCTCTGCAGCAGACGGCGCGAAGTCCCCAACGACGGAGACAGGGCCCTCAAACACAAAACTAGAAAACAAACCAAGGCCCTCCCCCTGCAGCAGCAGCAGCAGCAGCAACAGCAGCAGCAGCAGCAGCAGCAGTAACAGCAGCAGCAGCAGTAGTAACAGCAGCAACAGCAGGGGCAGCAACAGCGGCAGCAGCAGGAGTAGTAGTAGCAGCAACAGCAGTAGTCGCAGCAGCAACAGCAGAAACAGCAGCAGCAGCAGGAACAGCAGTAGAAGCAGTATGAGCAACAGCAACAGCAGCAGCCGCCCCTCTGTCTCCACCGCCTCGCTCAGCGGCTGCCCCACACCCACAGCAAGAAACTCTACTGCGTCTATAGAGACAAACTGCAGAGACAGCACGGCCTCACACGGGCCCAGTAGGAATGACCTGTACACACACACCAGCAGCAGCAGCAGCAGCAGCAGCAGCAGCAGCAGCAGCAGCAGCAGCAGCAGCAGCAGGAGTAGCGGCAGCTGGAGTTGATGGGGATGTCATAAAGATAGTGAGAAACGCAGAAAGAGATAGATAGATAAAGATATGAAAATATATAAAAGAGACAGGAAATATAGAGAAAGGAGACAGAGGAGAGAAAGGAGAAAGGAGACACCAGATATATAGAGGAGACAGAAGAGACAGACAGAAGAGAGAAGAGAGAAAGGAGACAGGAGACAAGAGACAAAAGAGAGAACAGACAAAGGGAAGGGGAGAGAGGGGAGAGATTAGAGACAGGAGACAGAAAACAAAGAAAACAGAGGAGACAGAGGAGAGAATAGAGACAGAGGAGACAGAAGAGACAGAGGAGACAGAGGAGGCAGGGGAGACAGAGGAGACAGAGGAGACAGAGGAGGCAGAGGAGACAGGGATGATAGAAACGAGACAGGGAGGAGAGAACGGAGACAGATAGGAGACAGAGAGGAGACAGAGAGGGGAGAAGTGAGACGGAGAGGAGACAAAGAGGAGACAGCGAAAGGAGACGAAAAGGAGACAGAGAGGAGACAGAGAGGAGACAGAGGGGAGACAGAGAGGAGACAGAGAAAAGAGAAAGGAGAGAGAGGGGAGACAGAAAAGACACAGAGGAGACAGAAAGGAGGCAGAGAAAAGAGAAAGAAGAAAGAAAGAGACACAAGGGAGACAGAAGGAGACAGAAAGAGACAAAAAGAGACAGAAAGGAGACAGAAGGAGACAGATAAGAGAGAAAGAAGAAAGAAAAGAGACAGAAGGGAACAAAAGGAGACAGAAAGCAGACAGAGACAGAAATGAGAAAAAGAAGAAAGAAAGGAGACAGGCGGAGACAGGCGGAGACAGGCGGAGACAGAAGGAGGCAGCAGGAGACAGACGGAGACAGACGGAGACAGAAAGAGACAGGCGGAGACAGCAGGAGACAGCTGCCGACAAAAGCAGACAGAAAGGAGACAGAAGGAGACAGGCGGAGACAGGCGGAGACAAAAGGAGACAGCAGGAGACAGCAGCTGACAAAAAGAATACAGAAAGGAGACAGCAGGAGACAGAAAGGAGACCGGCGGAGACAGGCGGAGACAGCAGGAGACAGAAAGAGACAGGCGGAGACAGACGGAGACAAAAAGAGACAAAAGGAGACAGAAAGGAGACAGCAACTGACCCCAGGGGCGTGTGGAGGTAGTCTTGATGAAAGAGAAGAATTTCGTACTGTCTCCCCACCTCTCCCTCTACCTCTACTCTGCCGTCAACGCATGCAGAGAGATAGGGGTTTGGTTGTATTTTATTATTATATAGGCTGTCTCCTGCTGCTGCAGCCCCATAACATATACTATTATCCTCATATAATACTCCGTCTCCTGCTGCTGCTCCTCCTGCTGCTGCTGCTGCTGCTGCTCCTGCTGCTGCTGCTGAGCCTGAACGACCCTGCAGCAACAGATGCGCCCGCTGCAGCACGTTGCGGGCCCGCAGCACTTCTTTGATTTGTTCTGTTTCTTCTGTGGGGTGATATACGGAGACAGCAACCAGCCGTCCCCCTCTTGCTGCTGCTGCTGCTGCTGCTGCTTCTGCTGCTGCTGCTGATGTTGTTGCTGCTGCTGCTGCTGCTGCTGCTAGGTCCGAGAGATAGTTAGCAGGCAATACATACTCACAGCCAGAGGAGACAGCTACGTGGGTGGTGGAGGCCCCCAAAGAGAAGGAGGAGAAAGGTAGGGGCCCATCGAGTCTGTAGGGTCCGAAAGTTTTTGCTGCTCCTGCTGCTGCTTCTGCTGCTGCTGTTGCTGCTGCTGCTGCTGCTGCTGCATGCGGCCAGCAGCAACTACCGTCAAAGGGAGAACCCACGTCACACAGACACAGCAACGAGCCCCTGCTGTGCAGCAGAGCGAAGGCCCCTGGGGGCCCCCCCCCCCAAACAAAAGCAGCAGCACTGAGTATATCTCTGCGTTCGCTGGGGTGTACGTACAGCTCGTTGCGGCTGCTGCAGAGCCATAGAACTGGTAGCTGCTGCTGCTGCTGCTGCAGCAGCAGCTGCTGCTGCTGCTGCTGCTGCTGCGCAGGGTTAGAGAGCTCAGGCAAAGGCAACGGGGGGACAACCAAGGAGACACCCCCACCCCACTGCAGCACTTGCTGCGCTGCTGTGGTGTATCCCGAGGAGACAGCGAACTGTACAGAAGGCTCTGCAGCAGCAGCACCCGCATCTCCTGCTGCTGCTGCTGCTGCTGCTGCTGTTGTTGCTGCTGGGGGCCTCTGAAGCGAGGGGATACACTCCGTGCAGCTGTGGGGTACGAGGCTGAAGGCCGAGGGAAAGGAGACAGAGCTCTGCTGCTGCTGCAGTGTCTCCTTTCTGTCTCCTTCGCTCGCATCCTCAAGCCCCCCTGCAGCAGCTGCTGTTGTCTCTGCTGCAGCAGCAGCAGCAGCAGGTGCAGCAGCAGAGACAGCAGCAAAACCCCGATACAGCAGCGGGGGCCTCCCCGTCAAGAATACCACCAGCGTGGGGCCCACGTCGGTGGAGGGGTCCAGCAGCACGAGCTCTGCATTCAGCACTTCCTCTTGCAGCTCTTCTGATTCTGCTGCTGCTGCTGCTGCTGCTGCTGTTGCTGCTGCTGCTGCTGCTGCTGCTGCAGTAGCAGCAGCAGCAGCTCCACCCGCAACAGAGACAGCTGCACGGGAGAGCGGCAGAGGGTCAGCAGAGACACATGTTACTGACCGTCTTGCATCTATCAATCCCTCTTCAGCAAGAGCTGCTGCTGCTGCTGCTGCTGCTGCTGCTGCGGCTCTGGCTGTTGCTGCTGCTGCTGCAGTATGCTGCTGAGGGGACCCCATCTCCGCGTCTTCACCGTCACCAGGAGACCGCAAAATATCAGCGGAGTCCACAGCCATGGGCCCAGCATTCCTGCTGCTGCTGCTGCTGCTGCTGTTGCTGCTGCTGCTGCTGCTGCTGTTTGCTGCTGCCTCTGCTGAGGCCGCGAGATCTTGGGTGTGTTGGTGTATGTGTTGGTGCTGCTGCAGCAGCAGCTGCTGCAGCTGCAGCTGCGCGCAAGAGCCGCAGCTACGCAGCAGCGGAGACACCAAACGGAGATCCACGGAGCTGAAGATACACTGCATTTGCTGCAGAGACACCACATGCACTGTCTGCGCTTTGTGGGGCCCTTCGACAGCAACAATACAACACAAAACATCAGCAGCAGCAG